CAAAAGCATAATAAAATCATTTAAATTATAGTTTAGCTTTACAGATGATGAAAGAAAAATTTCTTATATTATATTGATGAAGGGTGTACAATGTGGTGTGCATTACTCTAATGTAAGTATACCTAACCTAATTTAATTATGCAATATCAAATTTCAATCAAAATATAGATTTCTGCAATCTAGATTAAAAAACAACTGCTGAACAAAAAGACTGAGTGAGTACATTGCAAACCTACACAGCAGTAATAAAATAAAACATTACCCTCTATATCAGGGGTCTCCAAACTACAGCCCGTGGTCCAAATTTGGCCCACGAGCCTTATCAATTCAGCCAACCAATTTGTAAATAGTTTTATAAAATTTAAAAGAAGCAAGATACCATACACAATAACTATTTTATATAACAAATAATCGATAAATATATTACAGTCATGCATGTTCTTTCTAAAGCATATTATAAATATTATACTACTGTTTCTAAATTTACAATGAGTAAAATACAGCCAACACTCTATTATAAAATTTGTCATATTTTTTTTTTTATGAGAAAAAAGGTTCCATACCCACTTTCATAGTAGTATTCTAGATTTGTTCATAAAAATTTTTAGCAACAATTTTGTTTAAATATTCAAAAATTTTTTTTTAATGTATATGTTAAAATTTGTCATCGCATTTTGAGCCCCCCACAAATATGAAATGCCTATGAGCGAGTTTTCATCTGATAAAAATGTGATGCTAAATTGTTACAACAAGCAAGGAAATCCACTTATAAGTAAAATTACATCGCAAACCAAAGAAATCTTTGATATGCTGCGACAAGATTGTTTTTGCAAACGTTTAAACAATTTTAAGAAATTCATGTTAGGTGAAACAACATGAAAGTCTAAAAACCTCATTTCTTCGGATTATCATAGCAATATAGATTCAAATTCATTGTATTACATCACCACGGAGTGATGAATTAACTACGTATTGGCCGTCAAAAGATAGTAAAAGAGGTAATATGTCCTGCAGGCTAAAGAAGTTTGGAGACCCCTGCTATATATGAAGCAAATTCATAACATATAGAATGCTTTCATATTATGTAAAAATTACTAAACTGACAGTGCTGATTAATGATAGCTTTCATTTTAATTTTAAATGCTATTTCTGAAAACAAACGTACATTGTGTGCATAGAATAAACACATTTTATAAGAAATAAAAGTTAACAAAAGAACACAAAAAAAATCATGATCTCTCTAATTGATAAATGTCAAATAAACTATGTTATTAAGTGCTTTAAAAATATCGCATCAGTTTACCTAATTTTTAACTATAAATGAACAGAAATTAATGCCTACACATAGCAAGTAAAAATTAATCTGATTATCAAATAATACTGATTACAACCAATCACTACATAACAATGAATTAACAAATAGAAAGAAATATTGTCCAGTTAACAAACAGTTTATGAATAACTAGCTTTTACATTTACATCGCTTTTAAATAGCATTTTTGTAAAACAAACTGCTAGTTTACGAAAACTGCTGGAGACAAGATAATTCTTAAATGCTATAATGATAAAACTTAAATATTCACAGATAGCATTAACTTCTTGCATGTTAAGAAGCAAATCTTGTTTAATGTCTCCTCCTATATGAAATTATGTAATTTCCTAATTTCAAAATATTCGGTAACTGAAAATGTTTCAACCAAAAATTAAATAACACGTCTAAATATCAGTATAGCGTGAGCACTTTCACTACTAATTGCATTGAACACACATGCTAGGCCAAACGATCTTTACTCACCATAAAAGTTTTATTTATTCGAATTAATATGATTAAAAAATTTTGATGAAAAGTACGTAATATGGACAATATAAAAATACTAACCCCGAATAAAAAGAATCCTTACTTACCAGAATGCGTTTCTTATACTGTCACGTTTGTTTTACTTGCAAATATTTTGTTACGTTGCACAAATTCATAATAAAATATGGCGCCAAGAGCTTGTATTTTAACATGAGCGAAAACTTCGCCAAAGATAGCAACACATAATTCTGACGTCAGAAATCCAGGGCAACGGTCAGCGCCATCTATTGTCAAAAAGCAGCATTCGTAATTCTCAAAACTTACTCTTAAATCAAGATATGTGCCGAATACAGAAAGTTAGTTAATATAATCAGTAAGAGAAACTACGTAAAATGCCTTAAATTTCCAGTTTCTTTAAGGAATTGCTTCGATAATGGTGAAAAATTAATCTTGCATTTTTTTATCCTTATTTTCTGAGGAAATACTTTTTAATATACAAAGGGAATTTGTGAGAATTTTTTTCTCTGGTGTTCCAATTTTTCGAATACAAATTATTCGCAACTTATTTTAAATAACGTCATGAATGAAATAGAATGTTAAAAGAGAAATATAAGTATTCATGTTACTTGTCATTTAATTGTGTAACATTTCATTAAACTAGATTTCCTTCCAGATCTCTGGAAGGAACCAGATTTCAACTAAGAACTCCTGTTTAGATGCAGTACAAATGAAAAATCTTGTCCATGGAGTTGATAATGTAAAAACTACTTTTTTAATTTCTAGTTTCTAGTGAGAAATGTTTGTAAAAGATTGGCCTCGCGTTAGATTCTAGAGCTAAAAGTTTTCAACAAGGTCGTTTTAGACCTCAGTTTCAAACTAATTAACTCTGGCGGGAAGTATGCAAGGATCCTAAGTTTTACTAACGTTTATTTTATTTTAAATCTTTACTATCACTTCTTATTTTCTACTTCCGGCCAGAATTAAAAGCTTTTAACTTATTTATGCAAATTTGTCTTGCTAACGCCAAGTACTTAAGTTGTGGCTTTTTGCCAAGCAAGAGAGAGGAAGGAGTTATTAGAAGCAGGCCGCTTGCCATAGTAGTTTTACTCGGTTGCTGGTTGCCTTCAAGGCCAGAGGTTTAATCCTCTTGATAATTTTAAACGTATCGTAGTTTTAGCAGCTCTCTGTACTACATACGGCTTTTTTGTTAATTTACGGCCAATCTTAAAGTAGGCACTTGTATATTAATCCAAAGTTAGTTTAGTTAGAGTTTTAGTTAGTATTTTTATATTCTTACGTTCAGACCACAAGTGGTTGGTCTCTGTATTCCGAAGTTCCGGAAAGCTCTGTAAAGATAGAAAAATAAAGGGTTTCGTATACCCTTCCTGTGTGTATTGTCTACTTCACAATTTATCGAACATAGCTTGAGTAAGCTCCCTGTTCCGAGTCAGGACAGTTAATGTTTCCAAAGCAAGTAAAGAGGAATACCAGTCCTGATACAAGTATTGATAAATAATTTTGCGGAAATAAAGGTTAGGAGACGCAAATTTTAAAAGAAGGATTTTTTTTTCTTTATGATGAATTTTGGTCAAAATGTTATCATTACACTTATTGAGGGAGGAAAAAATTAGAGAAAAAGAGCAGTACGGACTGAGGAAAATTAAAATTAAACAGCAAAATACTTTAGCATTTTTTATAAAAATCATGTTTTCAAGTAGTTTAGTGTACCAAAAGGTTTTTTTTGAAAAGACAGAAAAAAACTTTACGATACATATTTTCTACAATTGTATGTTCAAATAGTTTTCTTTATGAAGTTTATGATAAATATGTTTTATATTCAACAAATGTATCATTTACATTATAAAAGTTCTTATTTATTACTTGTATATTATTGCGTGAATCATTTTCGTAAGCTGAGTAAATCACAGAGTACTATACATTAGTGTAATAGCTTTTCTGTATGTTTATCAATTATCTTGTCTATCAGTTTATAATATAACTAATTATTTACAAGTTTGCTAACTTAAGCGAAAAAACTTAGATAGGCGCAGATTTTATATAAAATTTTAAAACATTATTATGTAAAACTTCTTGGATTTTATATAAAAATCTCCTCAAATCTAGGCTTTCTTCCTTTTCTTAATGCTATACGTCGACATGTTCCATTTTTATATAGATTTATTCATTTATTATCAGTATGCATCTCAGTGAAAGGAGAGAAAATCTGTCTCTCGCACTCACACAAAAAGTCTTATGCAACTGAATTAAAATCACCTGACGTCAAATACCCAAACTAAAGCAAATTTTCATTTCACCAGTTGGTCAAGGGAAATTATTTTCTTTTTTATTCTTTCTTCATGTTACGTACCTTTCAACTGGTTTTCTAAGAACGTGCTTTTATTTTTTAACAATTAATCCAGATGTGATAAACATCATCATGAAAACATTGGCTTCTGGAATCCTTGATTATTTTTTATACTTTTCGCGGTTTTTTTTTTTTTTTCTAAATTTTTTTATTTTTAAGCACATTAAATTTATTGGGAAAGGGGCCCAGGAAAATTTTTTGCATAGGGGCCCAAGATTTCTAGTTACGCCACTGCATGTTTGGCGGATACTTTGGCTCAGGGTGTTTTACTTATTTACATATTTTCTTGGAACTTTTTACACTAGTCACATAGTCACTTACAGGTCTGTTTCTAGGATATACCATTCAGAAAAAGTTCTTTTTTGATGGATCAGGTACTCTGGTGTTACACTACCTGCATTAATTCCCTTGAAAGTTTCAGTTTTCATGTTGGAAGTTTAACTACACATACAAGTTTACTAATAGATCCAAATAGATGGAACACGGTTTAGCTCAATTTTTTAGCAGTGGAATTTTATCTAGGTAATAAAATCGCCAACTCTGAGCATGTAGCTATCTTTTTCCGTAATTCATAGAAGGGTCAACAGTAGATTTTGCGTATCTGGAATATTTGTCCCTGAGAAAGACCTTTCAATTGTTTCCAAGGGTATCGGCTGAATTTCCGATGCGAAATTTCTTGTCCCTGTAAAGGTCGTTTTATTATTTCAGAAGATACGTTAATACATTTTTCGTACAGCGATACGCGATATAAACAACGCTATGGTCTAAAATTCCCTATACTCAAAATTCCTTTTCCCTTTCTCATATCCCAGAGAAGGAAAAAACCGGTTATGAGCAAAAGTGAGGTTTGGGGTCTAGACACTTGTTTTGCGACGAACAGATAAAATAGACAGATGTCATAAATCGACTGAAAATAGAAACGTATCAGGTCGTAAATGTAATTAATTTTTGTTTTATCATTTGCTAATTTTTTGTTGGCTTTAACTGAGTGCATTAGAAATAATCTCTAAAATTAAAAGTTTCCGAGCCCTCTAAAGCGCGCACTGTACAATCAACAGAAATTTATAAGAAATAAAGAATAATTAATGCAACAATAAATAAAGAGTTATTTAATGCATGGGAAAGAGATGAAGTATTAATTAATTAATGATAATTGGGTAAATAATGAATGAACTTACAATTGTTATATAAGTTTACGTTAACTAAAATTGAATAATTAAACATATGATAAAATAGTGTATTTTTGCATAAAAGGAGGGTAAATATTTTAAACGTGTAATCAAATGAAACTTCCATTTTGTTTTGCGTTTTAATCCATTTAAAGTCTAATCAATTGGTTAAATTCAGACAGTACATCCTCATCTTCTGAAACATAATAACATATTGCATTTCAGCTTGGGGTACATTTCCCAAATGTTCCTCTTTACCATATATACTTTGTCTTTTCCTGGAACAGTGACATGTTTAGTAGCTATTATTAATATTAGTTTTACTGATTTCTAAGAAAATGTATTTGTGAAAAAATTTTCTGTTAATACTGTGACTTCCAGACTCATGTTTTGACTGAATTAAGACTTCACTCAAAATATCAGAAGTACTGAAGACTGGCTTCAGCTGCATTTAAAGCCTGAGTTCTACTTTCGTTATCTTGTTAAAAATTAGAATTTGTGCATGAATTAAATATTTCTAATTTGGTAATCTATTTTCTCAGAAAGAATGACTTGATCTCCTTATTGATGACTGTTAGAAATTTAACGCTATTTTTTTTGTGAGAATTTAGATTCAATTCAGTGTATATAATGTAGCTCATTCAAAAATTAATATGTCAGTTTGAATTTTTTTTTTTGGTGTGTGTGTGTGTTTGTAAATCTTTTGTTAAAGTGAACAAATTGTGTGTGCTTTTGTTTTGATATTTTATCAGTGTAGCTTTTATTAGTAATGAATGTATTTATTAGAGATGATATAACAAAAGTTTTGTATTTATTTAACAGAAGTTATGTTATATAGTAATGGTTGATACATAGCTCTTCGATTCATTTTGTTTACTTGAAGCTGTGTACACTATGAAATTTTTTAGATCCTAAAAGTGTTTTGAAACTGATTAACATAATTTTAATAAATTGTATATTTTCAAAGTTAACTTTGAATCTAAGAAATTTAATTTTCTCATTATTTACACCACTGCATACATAACTTCTCATTTCATTAACTTAACCTTTTTGTGTGCTTGATGGATGAAATTCCTGAGATTAGAAGCATTATTTTTGTGATTAACTTCTTTTATTCTCTTTTGGAATGCTAAGCTGATTTGCTTAAGGTATTTTCTGCGGGAAAAGTGCAGAATCGGCCACTGCTTGGCGCGCTTTTAAGAATTGCACATACTCGATATCTATGTACACATCGACCTATTTTCACTTAAAAAAAATCCCAGAATTGCACAAAAATGGTTATTATGCACTCCGTTGACTTTATCCATGTACATATCGACTTATTTTCACTTAAAAAGTCAAAGAAAATTGACAAAAATCCAATTCTTCTTACTCTTGTAAAAAGCGCCAAACAAATAAGTGGGCGATTCTGCTTTTTACCCTTCTCTATTTGTTTTTTCACATTTGCAATGGACATATTTCAACACGATAAAGCCTTGGGTGAATCTTTACATTATGGTAACTTGGCGATTTTTTGGCGAAAATTTGGCGACCAACCCTGCTACAGCAACCTGCTAGTTTTGTTTTGGACGCCATTTTGTTTTCACGAAGTAAAGGCATTTTTTTTTTTAACTCATCATTTTTTTCCAGCAATCTGCTAGCCGAATTACGTTTATACTAGAACTTTTATGGACCATAAATGCTTAATCATGATGAAGATTAGGAGCAAAATTGGGAGAAAGTGCGGAATCGCAAACCGATTGCCGCGTTTTTAAGAATCGCACGTACACGGTATCCATGTACACGTCCACCTATTTTCACTTAAAAAAAATATCCCAGAATTGCACAAAAATGGCATTGCGCACACTCTTGACTTTATCTATGTACACATCGACCTATTTTCACAAAAGAAAATTGACAAAAATCTAATTCTTCTTACTCTTGTAAAAAGCGCCAAACAAATAAGTGGGCGATTCTGCACTTTAGCAGCGAAATTGTTTCTAAGTGCTTATTAGCTACAATCACGATCGGAATTTTCCGGAAAATGTCACATTACATGTCTCATGATCTCTTATTTCTCTAAGACAAAAATAATCTGGGATTCGAACTGTGTACTTCTCAGATTATTGCTAAAGTCCTAGCTAGTAACCTTTATCGCCTTACCAAAATGTCACCAAACTACCTGTTACCATGTTCTAAAGATTAGCCGGGCCTTGGAGATGTTTTGTGTCTCCAAGCAAAAACATTTGCAAAGGATATTTTAACACATTACCTGAAAGATTATAAAATAGTATCTTTATGTACTCATACTTTCTCTCATACTATTGCCACTACTATACTGTATGCTGTCTATTGGGGTCTTTTAAAATTTTGCTGTATATTGGCAAATTATACTTTGTTATACTTTAACTTTGTTTGATGTAACATATTGCTGTTAAATTGATAATACACATTAACTTTCAATTAAACATACATATTAAATTTGTATGAACCTTGTATTGAACCCTTTGTTTGTACACTAAGAACACATCCTGAAACTGAAAACTACTTAATTAAACTTGGGTATGCTAATGATATAAATTTTGTCTAATGCATAATGGTTTAAAATAATGATGATGCATTATAAGCCTAAAAGAAACGTTGAAATATTATTGCACATTTTGATTATTAGCAATTTAAGATGCACAACAAATCATTCACTATTCTAAGTATTTTTAAGTGTTCATGAGTCCTTGACATTTATCACATATAGGCATACATGAAGTTCTTACCTCAGTCAGTGTGAAATTTACAATCATTAGTCCTTACACTCAGATCTTTGGAGAAGGTCGTCAAGGAATTGATCATGGTAACTTAGTTCAATCTTGGTAACTTGGTTTATCTTGGTTGTTATTCTCCTCTTCCTGTTTCAAATCAGAACTTGTTCACATTTCCATGATTTTAGGTAACTCACATAAGCTGCAATAGTGAAGTAGCATGCTCACTTTTTTGCTTCTAGTGTGTTACGTTGTAGGTATCATAGGGCAATATTTTTTGGTACTTTTCGTTTTGCTGGCGCAGACGATAAAGTCACCTGTAATGGTACAACTGATGCCAAACAGAATATCTTCGCTGGTAACTTTTTACACCTGATCTTCAAAACAAGTCTCATATTGATTGCTTATCAGATTTTTTTTTTTTTTTTCAATACAACAGAATTTTTACCAGATAGTTAAATTTCATGCCCTAAGACCATTCAGAAAAGTCAATTAGGGTGTAATCACACCAAAGGCAAAAATATAGAAAAGGCAAAGGGTTAAATTCGTGAATTCTAATGAGAATGCACTAGCGAAGTAAAGCACTGCGGTTTTACATAATTTCTGAGTAAGCTATTTGTACGAATTGAAATAATTCTTGCATTTAAACTTGTATTCCAAATTAAGATTTAACTTGAAATTAATGTAGATAATTACTGAGAGAATTATATTTTTGTAGCGTAGTTTACGTGAGATGAGATCACTTGGGATCACGTGATACGAACCAGCGAATCAGGATGTTGAACCATGATAGCATAGAAAAGTCTTAAATTAATGTCTTTTTACAAATTTATTATCTTTATTTATTGCTTTTTACAAAATTTTTAATCATATTAAAATATTTATGCCTTCAAAATAAAAAATTCTTAGAACTAACATTTGTTAAAATTTTTTACGTGTATCTGTATATTGTCGCCAACAAAGTCTGCTTGGTAAGATTTGCGGCGGTGAAACGGAAAAGTACCTATTTTTTTTAACTTTAAATAATTCTTAATTTTTCGGTTGTGTTTTGTTAGATTGGCTTGCAGCTTTTTGAGCATATTTCATCACAGCAATTTCTCCTTGTTCAAATATTACTGTGCAACATCACTTTCTGTTGAATCTTTCCTTCTTCTTCTTTCTTTCTTTCTTAATTATTTTTTTTTATGTTCTGTTCTTGCTTGCATTTGTTCTTGAGTTTCTCGTGGGTTATTCCATGTTTCTGCATCTTCATCTGCTAGCTTGCAAAGGATACCTTTATTAAATCTGAGCAAATAACCAAGTAGCATTTCAAACTAGTATTCTAGTAAGTGTTTTTTTATCATGTTTTTTAAGTTTTTTCTTTAATTTCAGAGTTTCAAACCTTATGCAGTTTATCTGAAAGACTTTTCATTATGTTCCTAAAATTGTTCTGTTCCTCTAGAGTTGGAGCCAGAATGTCTGCAATCAGTGCGGTTACACCGGGAAAGAAAATTTTTAGATTTAATAAGGAACCGGGCAGCAGAATTTTGGTGTCACCAAATTTGCATTGGGCAGCAAAAATCTAGCACTAGGCCTGCCTCTACTATACTATTGGCTTTGGGATGTTTGGTAACATTCAAGATATCATCAGTTCTATCATTTGTACAATATTGCTTAAATTGAAGTAAATTAAAACATGATCCTCTGCTACTTGTTATTTTTTTCCTGTAAACTAAATCATTAACAGAATCATTCAGGCATTTTAAAACATGCTTAGCACTTGTAATTTCCACTGCGAAAAATTCACACAAAGATGTCCTGTCATGGCAGACTCACATGTGCTTATTGCTCTGTGGAAGGTCATTGACAGTGAGAATTGCAAAGGGGCACATGCAGCATTCTCAGGACTATGTTCAAAGTGGAAATTAGAATAAGAGGTATGAACTGTACAAATAAAAAAAAAAAAAAGTGTTTCAAAGGCTAGACAATCAGCAGCAGAGAGAGATCCCTGTAAAAATTTATCTTATGCGGAAGCAGGAAAATTGCTAAAATCCGTGTGCATCCAAACTACTTCAAGCATACTAAAAAATCGGGCAAACAAAATTTACTGGTAGAAAACACGCCAAATAAAAATAAATGTAAAACATCAAAACAGAATATAGAAACCCAAAGAAGAAAATCACAAAATCTTTCATAAGCTTATTTGGTAGCTTTAGTTCTTAAAGTATAGGTTTTATGAATGAAGTGGAACTGAGGATAAATATTCCGAAACATTTATTTCCACACAAAACAAACAAACAACAACAAAAAAAAAAAGTACTGGAAAATAAACATCATACATAATGGCTACTCTTATTTCATGGAATTGTCATGGTTTCCACCAAAATCTCGTTGGTATCAACAATATCAGTAACTTATGTTGCCCTCTGTGCTAAGCAGTGTAGGAAATTTTACTGAAACCCAAACAAAAAAGGAAGATTCAGAGGTTATGTCTGTAGAGGTGCTGCTCTCCTCACCTCGCCTGACTATTCCTCTAGTTTCTTTAACAATGGACCTCCAAGCTGTTGCTGTATAAGTAAATCTCAGAGCATTAGTTTCAATTTGTTTCCTCTGTTTGCCTCCATATATTCAAATTCATCAATGAGATTTATATAATCTTACAGAGCAGCTGCCAGAACCTTTTTTCATAAAGGGGGACCTTAATGGCCGCACTCTTCTGTGAGGAAGTAAGCCTACAAACCCTCGAGATATGCAAATTGAGCAGCTGGTTGATAATCATTGTTCTCAATAATGGACAGAATATCTGCTTCCATAAGCCCTGCAGGTATCTTACAGTAGTGATCGTTTTACTATTTCTTTATCTCTTGCATGAGAAGGATCAATTTTTATCTCGAGATCCTGTGTTTTATATTTGATAGGGCAGACTGCGAAATTTTCTCACCTGTTGTATAGTTCACAGAGGAAATGGTAAAGATGTGCATATGAATGTTGTAGTGAAACCTCTTATTAATGCTTATATTCAGGCAGTTACACTCCCTATACATTTGATATCAAGAAAGCTGCCAAACTATTCCAAACCAGGGTGGAATCATGAATGCCAAGATATTCTGAAACAGCAGAGAAAAGCTTGGGGAGTTTTTTGCAGCTATCCCACTTTTGTCAAACCTTATTGCCTTAAAAAAAGCCAGACAAAATGCAAGAAGAGTGAGGTGCAAAGGCCAGAGGGATTCTTTTCTCTGTTAAACATACCAAGGGCCGGCACTAGGTAACTGCCTATGGCAGCAAAATTTAGTGGTGGGGAAACCAACTGAGCTAAAAAACTCATATATTCTGATTGCCTGAATCTAGAAAATAAGGGAATAGTAAAATAAGATTAAATACAGCAGGAATTGATAGGTTTCCGGTCATTCTTTTATTTTGAAATGCACAGCAGACAACGATAGACAAGCTTCAAAGTTCTGGATAGTGTGTACTTGTATACTCGACCTTGTGACATGAAGTAAGAGATGCATGTCCACCGCTGACGGGATTTGCACAAACTTTTTTTACCTTCTAATAAAAGAAGGTCAGATTTAAAACAATGTCTTATTTATGCAATAACGTGCACTGGGTCCATTTAGATTGTGGTAGTGATACAGTTTATGCTACACTTACAGTGTAGTGGATGCGAAAAGTACTTTTTAGAGGTTTTTAAGTTAGTACTATTTGTTGTACCTGCACCTTTAATATTCTAAGTTCACTCAGCGATTTTTTCAACTGCTTATCCTTTTTATGTATTTATGTTAAATTTCCATGTTCTAGGGAGCTGTTAAACCGATTTCAATGCAACTTTCTGCTATATTTATTGTTATTAATTTTGAAATTTTAAATAGGACAACTTTCTGGATGGTTGCTGCATAGTGTATCCAAAACGTATAAAATTTTTTTAAATCTATATATTTAGATCCAAGACATCTTAGGTTATATTATACTATTCTTTAGAAGATACCCCCGTATACTCAATGAAGAAAAAGACTGGTAGTTGGTATAAAAGAGAAGAGGATGGAGAAGCAATCAGGAGCATTGCATGTCATATTAAGAAATGCAAGTAGTTCCAAGCAAAACAAAGAACTAAGATCCCAACACTACTATAAATTCAGATTTGGATTATCGACGACAACAACATTAATGATTAAATTGAGTTTTTGCACACAGGAACAGAGCTCAACAGGTTTTAAGGCAACCTGTTACTACCACTGGCAATGAAGAAGGCCTCAAAGAAACTCTTGTCATTAGACCCAGGGTTATGGGCCAATGGTGTAAGTGACTCAGATTGAACATTTCAAAGTAAAAAAGATCCATTACCTCCTTTGTTTGGCTACAATTTTTTGTTGGCCAATCAGATTCCAAATCGAAGATTTAGTGCAAAAATATAAATTTAAAAAATGGAGAACAAGTCAAGAGATTGTAGAGTCATTAGGTTAATTGAAAGCAGAAAAGATGAAAAAATATGCAACCGCCCTTGCTGGGAATCGAACCACAGACCTCTGGAATACCGGCCCAGCATGCTACCGTTACACCATGAAGGCACGCTAGGGAAGTGGGAGAAATACCTTATATACTACCCTTTTTAAAGGGCGACTAGTATTTTAGGGAACCTAGTTGCCAAATCCTGGGTGCGGAGAATCATCATCCACAACCCTTTTAGTTTGGGCGCCACTGTAGAGACATTAGGTTAATTGGAAGCAGGCAAGATGAAAAATTAACAACCGCCTTCGCCGGGAATCGAACCACGGACCTCTGGAATACCAGCCCAGCGTGCTACCATTACCATGAAGGCACGCTAGGGAAGTGGGAGAAATACCTTATAAGATTGGCTGGTAGGTTCAGTGTCTTATTTTTGTTGCAGACATTATAGTAATTCAAAACTGTGTTTGCATATAAAGGAGGGTTTTAGAAACTGGAAAATATTGGTGAGATATTAAGAAAGCATGAAGAATCGAAAACTCGTGTAAATAATTTGGAATCGTGGGTAGAGCTGAAACGAAGGTTAGAAACTTGTCAGACAGTAGATTTAGCTGTGCAAAGATTAACTGAATTAAATATTGGCATGAGGTAATTTTATGCATAATGTCAGTTATTAAATTGCTCGGTGAAAGTTCTCTACTCTTTTGGGGTACAAATGACAAGAGTTTTAAGCATAATAATGAAAATTTTCTGAAGTTAATTTAATTGCAAAATGAATTTGACCAAATAATAGAGGAAGATGTTCGTAGCATAATCAGTAATAAAGAAAAGACGGCAACTTATTCAGTAAAAAACATTCAGAACGAACGAAATTTCTGGGCTTCATAAAGTCTTATACTATAAAACAAGTTCAAAAAGCGAAATATTGTTTGCTTATCCTTGACTGTACTTCTGATGCCAGTAAGGTTAAACAAACGACACTTGTACTAATATATGTTTCCACTGATCGGTTGGAAGCAGGATTCGAATGGAATATTAATGAGAATTTTCTGGCTTTTCTTCTTATTGAAAGTTCTATCGGTAAGGAATTATATCAAGTTTTATTAGAAGAGTTGTAGGAAAATGGATTAAAATTAGAAAATGTGAGGGGTCAAAGTTATGACAATGTTTCAAGTATGAAAGGTGCCTACTTGGGAGTACAATCAAGAATTAAAACTTTAAATGCCAGAGCATTTTACATACCTTGCAACAGCCATTCATTAAATTTAATATTTAACGTTATGGCACAACTTTCCTTTGTGAAAGTGAATTTTTTTAATATGGTTCAAAAGCTGTATGCATTTTTTGCATCGTCAAGTTTTAGGTGGGCCATATTAAGAAAATGCTGTAAAAATCATTAAGCGACACTCGTTGGGAAAGTCATATAGATTCCCTAAAACCTTTGCGCTTTAAAATAGAAAACATCCAGTATTTTTGAATTGTACAGGTACTGTGTTCTGTCATGACAGTTACAAGCCACAAAAATATTTAGTGGTTTGTCAGAAACTAGCGGAGCAGGGATGGGTTAATTAAGACACAATAACACGCCGAATAAATACTAATTCAGAAGTCAAACAACAAAAATCAGCGTTATATTTACAAAATTTTCACAGATTTCACAGATACAAATTTTGTAAATATAATGCTGATTTTTGTTGTTTGACTTCTGAATTAGGGTTGGGTTAACTTACGACATTTACGATAACTTTGGCATTGTATCATCAGACTAGCATTTGTTTTGCATGCTAAGTCAGGTAAAAACCTTCATTTTCGATTACACTGTCAATTCCCAATTTGAAGTTTCTTTTGATAAAATACCGGAAGCTGTTTGAAAGTGGCATCATAAAAGTTCCTGGAAATATTTATCAATTTATTTTGAAATGATTGATAACCTGATGATGGTAAATGGAATGTTTACAGCAACAACTGAATGGAAAATCTCATAGTCCAAGCTTGCTGAGACAGCTCAAACACCATCAAAAGCGAATATGCTTCCAAGAACTAAAAAGGGAGTCAAGTTTAATGCAGTTCTTCACAAACTTTTTCCATTAATGAACCTCTTCACATCATTGAGATTGTTTTGTATATTAAGTAATTTCTTTGGTAAAGAGCATATATAAGAAAAGAAGTAGTTATAAGATTTATTTCACGTATAAGAAAATTAATGAAAGAAAATCTTGTTTTAATGATATCGATGCTCTCGTTTTTTGCTGTATAACAAATTAAATCTTGGTGCAATATTTAACACTGCTAAGCATAAATCAAGCATCTTTATTGTTTTTCAGCATTGAAGGACATTTGGATTAAATCAGTGTTAAAACTGGAAAAGTTGTTTCATGTAAGTATGTTGCACTGAATGATAGAAATGGGATATCAGAAATTGTGGGAATTTCAGTTTTAGCTACAATAAAGAATTCAGTCAAGTATTTTTGCAGAAACTCAGGTTTTTAGCCACTCTGTAGCTTAACAAATTCCTTTTGAATTTTATATGGCAGCAATTAATGTCAGTTAATGTAGTTTCTTTTAAAGTCTGCTTAAAGTAATTTCGTTAAATTCATTTATGTAGCTAAATGAAATTTTCGCAGCACCCAATATTTTGTTTTGCGTCACCATCTGGGGGGGGGGGGTCATGATCCACAGTTTAAGAAATGTTGGTTTATGGGGAATTATATTGGTATTTGGGCTGGAATTTGTTCTTATAATCAGAATTTGCTAATTAGGAAGAAACTTTGCCATAATTTGTTTAATATTTCTGAAATGTAACTTTCCAAAAATAGCAAGTGATATGTTTCAAGTAAGTAGTTATCTATGGTCTTAGTATTATCCATGCCCCCTTCCCTTAAAAAAAAAAAAAAAAAAAAAAAAAAAAAAAAAGATATTATAACATGAAAAAAGCTTGACATCATCTCTCCCAAGAAAGCATTATGCAGCTTCTTTTAAGTTGTAAATTTAGTTTATTTATATTCAAGTACTAGTTGTGTGTTTTATTTTCAGTTTGCAAGTTATAATTTTATTTCTTTTATCATATTTCACTGAAATAATTCTTATTTTCAGTGTAATGTATATAAATTACATTCAGTGTAAATAATGGAATTTTCAGTTTTAGAAAAGGAATCAGAATAAAACATCCTTTTAGTAAAAGAAGTATGAAACTACCACAATCTTTAAATTTTCAAGATGATGCTATATTGAAGAAATATCGTTTAATGGAATTGTACAGTGGAATTGGAGGGATGAGATATGCAATAGAAGGTGAATTTTGTACAGTTTTTCATTTTTGTTCTCCTTTTTGTTTCCACTAGCTTAAGTCTGTAACTGCTCATCTATTAATTTTTTTTTTTAAAATTTTGACAAAGAACTGTCTATTGTCTTACTAGAATTTTTCTATCTACTTCTGAATGTCATTAGACGTCTTATATAAGTATAGGCTCATCTTTTGCCAATTTATTGCTGCACAATATGCTTGAAAATAAATTCCTTATATTAACCAGAAACTCATCAAAGCATGTATGTGACTTATTTTGGCTGAATCTCATTTATATATGTCTTTTCTGAATGTATAACTTGCTTTTATGTAAGTTAAAACAAATTTAGAAAATGTATTTAAAACTTGAGTTATTTTTTATAATTGTATTTTTTCTTATAAAGCTGCTGGGATTCCTTTTGAAATTGTAGCTGCTTTTGATATAAATCCCTTCGTTAACAAAATATATTGTCATAACTTTGGATTTCATCATTTGTCAAGAAATATACTGTCTCTCACAGCAGCTGAAGTGGAATGCTTAAAGGTGGATATTATTACTTTAAGTCCACCATGTCAGCCTTTTACTAGGTAAAAGTTATTAATATTTTCTGAATAGATATGTATATTTATGTACATAAACATACAGGTTTATGTAATATATATGCTTATATTTTAGAATCCTGTATTTGATTTAGGAAATGTGAATTGAACCCATGGTAATTATTTACGAATATAAATAACACAATTAAGGAGGCATTTACATTAAATACTTAAAAACAGAAGACTAGATAAATTACTGAAATAGCAATGTAAGAGGTTTCTTAAAATGAATGTATCAGAATTTAGAAAAATTTCTTGATAAAGTGAATTGGGTATGTATTTTTGATAGTCAGGAATTGCCAAATGAATTTGTTGAAAAATTTCAAAATAAGAGTGATTGGGAAATATTTCTGAATATCATGAATTACCAGAAGAATTTTTATAGAAAAATTTCAAGGTAAGGTTTATTGGAAACATATTTTGAAAAATCAAGAATTAACAGAAGAATTCATTGAAAAATTTCAAAATAAGGTCCATTGGAATGATGCCTATAGGAATAAAAAATTCTTAGAAGAATTTAATAGAAAAATTTCAGGATGAAAGTTTGTTAAACATGTATTTGTGAATTTTATGATTTGTCTGTTGATTTACATGATTTGTCTGGATGTTTTATGAAAATTTCAAGATAGGATTAACTGGTAATAAATCTTTACAAAATTTATTAAATGGCAGAAAGTTTTCAGATTAAGGTTTCTAAACATCGAGAGTTATCAAAAAATTTATTAAAAATTTCAAGATAAAGTTGATTGGAAAAGTATGTCTGAATATCAGATATTACCAGAAAAATTTATTGAAAACTTTTAAGGTAGGGTTGATCGGAAATGTATTTGTAAATATAAAGATCTATCAAATGAATTTATGGATAAATTTTATATTTCTAAGATCAGAAATTAGAAGAATCTTTGACAAAAGTTTAAGGAAACTGTACCTTTGGGCTATTTTTGGGGGATTTCTAAGAAATAATTCTAAATGAATGGATGAATCATTAAACTTTACAAATTGTGAAAAAATGTACTCTCTTTGTAATGATTTGTATGAAATATATATTTCTGAAGTTTCTGAAAAAGTATTATCAAAGAATGCTCAAACAATGACTGAAATAATTGAAAAGGAAGAAAATGAAGGTATTAAATTGAAAGGGTTATGAATTTTATATGATATTCAAAAGAATTATTATAAATTTATTACAAAATAAGTGGAACTAATAGATACAGTAATTTACTCACAAAATATAATATTAAATATTTAGAATATTCTAGATCTGTAGATAATGAACATTTTATTTTAAAATATAAAATTAAGAATTTTATTAAAGATCGTTTCTTATTATTTAGAAAAGGATTTAATAATATTAAAAATTATGGTGGATGAGAATACACTTTTGTAGAAGGTAACCACACTGTACCTTTGTTATATTAAATCATATTTCTAAATTCTCGTTTTATATTAATGAACGAAGGTGTGTAGTGTGGGAACAGAAAAGCCTTTAAAAATATCTACCAATAAATGGAAGAAGTCAATAGACTCGGATATTATCCTAAAACTCTAAAATTGAAATATTTAGAGCCTTGGAAATGTAATATGATCTTATTGAAAAAAATTTAAGCTTAATACAGAGATGTATGTATTGTAAAAATAGAAGTAGGTGATGAATAAAAAAAGCATTTTCTTTAAAAAAAGTCCCAGAAGGCTTTCTGATAATCCAGTCAAAAAATTAATAAAGGAAATAGCATATTTAACTATAAAGGTATGATAGATGAAGAATAGTATGATTTGGAAAAGCTTTAGAATATCTTAAATTTCATTCCAAAAACTTAAGATCATTACATTTTTATTTCATTTTTAATACTTATATTTTATTCCTCCCAAAATTAAAGATTTTCATATTTAAAAACATACATTTTTATGTAAATTATTGTATTTTTTAATACTTATACACTACCTGACATTGAAAATGCAGCACCAAGAAGGAGTGGCCTGAAAATTATGCAAATTTCAGAGTAGATGCACATCACCGTGTTATCTAAATGATCTGAAATGTGCAGCTTTCCAGTGAACCTTGAAGAAGATATAAGGAAAGGAACCTGCAGAATGTTAAATTTTAATGCCGTTATTTCTGCTAGGGAAGTTGTAGAAAATTTGTTCTTGTTTCAGAGGACGCATGTAATACCAAAAATGCCAGGCCGTCGTCAACGGAGGCCATTTCAGCATGTAGGCAGTTTTCTGAGGGGTATGGTGATCGGACTGAGAGGGCAGGTTGGTTCATACAGCAAATCTCAGCTGACACATACCTGGATGCATCCACAGTGCATCAGCTGTTGCGACGATGGTCGCAGTTCAAGGGGTGTCAGTGTAGACAGAATGACATCAGCATGCATGGATTGATGCATCTGCTGACAAGCCACTTCTACCTCCAGTCTGCACAATGTTCAAGACCCCCTGGATTTCCCATATTGACCAGAACCATTTGTCATCGATTGGTATCTAGTAACCTGCACTCATGGCATCCATTAAGAAGACTGCCATTGACTCCACATCATGGATGCCAATGTCTGTAATGGTGTCTGGCTGGAGCAATCTGGACGACAAAATGGCACAGGGTTGAGTTCTCAGAGGAGTCGTGCTTCAGTTTCTCCAGTGATAGTCGCTGCATATGAGTGTGGCATCTGTGTGGAGACAGGTGCAATCCTATAGCATTTGTGGAATGCTCCTACGCGTAACAAAGTGGCATCATGGTTTGGGATGCAATTACGTAAGATTCGAAGTCACCTCTAGTTCGTATTCAGGGCACTACGACATCCCAACGATACATGGATGATGTGCTGCAGCCTTGGACACTCCCCTACTTTCAGGGAGTGCCCAATGCCCATTATCAGCAGGATGACGCCCAACCACACACTTCTCACATCAGCCATTTTGCTCTGCAAGGTGTACAGATGCTTCCGTGATGACGGTTTTCTTCTGATCTCTCACCAAATGAACACATTTGGAATGTGATTAGACGCCAGTGCCATATTCAGAAGATGAACTGTGGAAAATGGTTGACTGTGAATGGAGAGACATTTCTCAGGACACCATCCATAGTCTCATTGACTCTGTACGTAGACGTGTTGCTTCCTGTATCACCATCCAAGATTGTCCTACAACCTACTGAGCTGAAGTTGTTCCCCCTGTGTATTACGTATATAATTTCAAAATAAAGATCACTTATTGTTTGTTGCTGTCTCTGTTTGTTTGGTGAATTTCATCAGTTTCTGGCCACTTCATCTTGGTGTTGCATTTTCAGTGTCGGGTAGTGTATTTTATTCCCAAAACTTAAGATTTATGTATTTTTTAGGATTTTTTCATAAAAATATGTAAAAGACTTACGTTTTATTATAAAAACTTAACATAAGATAGAGTCATTCAGATTTAAGTTATACTGAGCCAGATCGGTCATTATGACGCTAACTTTCTCTCATAATATAATCTTCTCTTTCTTTAACAGAGTTTTGTTCCCTCTTAGTCTTATTTTGTGACTTTTTAAATGTTTTCTAACATATATATTGTTCATAAATATCTGGTCTCATTAAAATGAATTTCTTTTTTACTGAACGTAGTCATGCATACTTTGTAGATTATTTTCTCTCTATATTTATGTGAATATTATCTTACTAATATTTCTTATAATATGCCTAAAGTCTACTGTATTAGGTTAATATTTGTCATTCCAGAGTTGGTTTGAAGAGAGACATCGAGGACGAAAGAACAAACTCTTTCCTGCATGTTTTGAATGTAATTTCTGAGTGAGTGTTTTAAAATATAATTTCCAGTTGTATATATATATGCATAAAATGTTAGCGAAAGAAGTATATCATTTAACCCCTTCGCGCCGACTGTCACGTCTACGTGCCAGCAACGAACACACTCTCTTCCCGGCCGACACACAGGCGTGCCAGAGCATTTTCTCATTCAGCCTCGACTGTCACGTATTTGTGCCAATGTCCTGGAACGTTTTAAAAACTATAATTTCTGCCACAAGATGGCACTGTATGTCCATATAGTTTCAGATACATGTACATTAGACCTTCTACTCGAAATGATCGCTAAAGCGTTGGGTATTTCGGTTTGCAGTTCAGTTTTTAGAAAATAATTAGATCTTGTTAGACGTGAATTCTTTCTGTTTTTACTGTTGCAATGTCGAAGCGTCGAAAATGTTTAACAGAGCATGAAATAGCAGAAATGACCCAAAATATTTCAGATATTGATTCTGAAACAGATTCTGATAGTAGTGATAGTGATACTATGATATATTCTGATCATAAAGAATCTGGCGAATCTAATGATGATGAGGACATTTCGGACATCTGTATGCCGAATATGTCGACATACAGATGTCCTCATCCTCATTAATCCTTAATTAATTAATGTCCTCATCGTCAATGTCGTTATTACGAGTGAAAGGAATGTAACGCAGGACTGTGTGTATATCCCTGTTTTCAAATTTTTCAACAAAAAGAGAATTTTAAGTAATATATTTAGTTTTCAGATGTATAATGTTAAAAGTCATAAAATGGTGAGTATTGAAAATAAAATGTGTAAAATATGCATTTAAACAAGAAATAAGGTAATTAAAGTATATATAAAAATATCTATAAAGCATAAGCCGTTTAAATACTCTATAGAGCATTATTAAACAATAAATCGGAAATTTCATGGATTTAGGCTTAATAGCAAAAACGCTCCCAGCCCTGGACAGACGCTCGCGTAAGACTCTGCCGGCCGCCGCGATAAGCGTGCGTTTGCGCTACCCGGCGCGAAGGGGTTAAAATCGCCCCATCAATCTTAGGACTGATGTAAAAGGCAAGCATTGATTTTCTGAGCAGTTAACATATAGTTTGTTTTGAAAAGATAGTTACAGGCTTTATCTCCTTAATCCGAAATATGCATTTCTACTTGCAGAGCCTCAAAAATAAATTTCAAAATTTTATGAGAACAGTGTTAACACTATTGGTGTGGGGGGTTGATCACTACTGTGGGAGTGACTGTCAGGTTACCACTGTGTTGAGTGGCAACAGGTAGCGCATCTGACTCCACATTGGAAGGTTGTGTGCTCTAATAATGTCTGGATCACTGCAGGGTCTTGATCACTACTATGGGAGTGACTGTCAGGTTACCACTGTGTTGAGTGGCGACAGGTAGAGTGCATCTGATTCGTTATAATGATTGCATACGTTTGTGAGGTTGCGTAATTCTTACTGCATTGTTGAACTTAAAACATATTTATTACAATTACAAGAAGATCTTTATAAATATATGTATAATTCATGGATAACATAGACAGTTACTGAAATGAATTATAGTCCTCGTGGTGTGAGGAGTCTGCTAGTGAAGGTCTCTCTAGTCGAGAGTTCAGGAGCCTTCTGATGTGTTACTCCGATGAAAAAAATCTTCAGACTGAATTTTAGCCACTCCTCCTTAATTTTTCAGTAGTATTTTACACCCTGTGATTTGTTATATTTGGAACGATATCAGAGGAAAGGTCAGATCATTGGTTCATCTCCCCTCCTGAAATCTAGAGGATTTGACGAGAGACATGGGGCAGAACACTAAAATCTCCTGACACTAGCTGTGAAGTTATTTCTCTTCCACTGTCAACTGGGACGAATTATTGCATCTGCGATAGTCAGAAACATGTTGTGTGACACATTGTAAAAACTTGGAAACAGTGACTTGTAGAGGCCACACACATGATTTTTCTTATATCTGTATAGGCTGCCGCATGTGGAGGTGTTTGTTAAACACTTAAATTTGTGTGTGGTCCCTGTAAAATAGAAAGTCCAATTAATAAAATAACCATTATGCTTCAAGTTAATTACAAAATGCTATATGTATTAATGTTCAAAATTGGACCACGTGTTAGTAATAAACTGGCTATAAAGTTAAGAACAAGGTTCTGTTTTTGGAACTGTAAACACCAAAATTAAAAAATGTTCTATTTTGTAGTTTTCACTGAAACTCTTTAGTTAATCGGCTCTGAGTGGCTGTGTAAATCAATAAAGTTGTTCTATGTAAGTTTTTTCATGTAAAGGTATAAAATTTTTTAACTTGTTAATGTATCACAAATAACTTACCAATTCCAATTTTTGCTTGTTTTGAAATATTTTTATAAAACATCTTTGAAAAACTGGAATTTTTTCTCTAGGATAAGTATTGAGAAAGTAAAGTGTGCAGCAACATTCTTTAAACAATTTAATTATATTTTTATACTGAAATGCTGGATGTGTTCTTACATGGCTGCATTTGTTATTCCTCTAAATGTATCCTAATTATTTCATAATGTATTTTGACTATTATTTTTAATGCTTAGTCAAATGTTTTAAAATTTCGAATATAACTCTTGTTAAAACAATTGCTAAAATAATTAGTATATTATGTATATTTCCAGTTGAAAAGTTTGTCTTCTTATTTTTCATAATTTTCTTATAAACTCTAGCCGGCAAAGCTGTATATTTACAACTCAAAATCTTTTTCCTATCATCTTTTACATGAGCACATATACATGCTCTAAAATAAAGAGGGTTCACCTGTTTAAACTATTTATTTATGAGCCTAGAATATTATTACAGATCACTGCAACACTAACATAGTTCTATTTCTGTGTATATCCAGACTGTTGCCATTTACAAATTACTAAATGCTTAATTACTAAATACTTACACATGCATCTAGTATTGTGTGCAAACATTTAAGGCAGTACGTCCAAAGACCCAGAACCTCTAGATGTAACTGCTGCTACTACTGATTGTATTTCCAAAAGTGCCTGCAAGGAATGTTATTGAAAAAGTCGCTACAAAGAATTTAGATGTTATAAAAAATATGTATGTTTTTTTTATTTAGGAAATAACAAACATAACTGTTTGCATAAAATTGAACATAGAATTCTGAATAGTTTTTCTAGAAATTATCAAATGTTAATTTTAAATTTTTGTTCACTAATACAGAGTATATTATTTTATATATAAATCATAGTATACGTTATTTTGATTCTTTTCCTTTGTGTGAAATCTTTGGAATACAATTTTAGTTTTTGATGAAGGTTATTGTGCATTTTATTTTGCTTTGTTTAGGTAAAGGACAAAGTTGGTGCAATTTTACTCACTTGTACCAAAAAGGGGCCTAGACTTCCAGTTTACAAGTTATTCTGGATAATAGGCAATTTCCTGTTGGTCTTGAGGGGGGCATTCTCTTAACAAGGTTTGAAAATATTTAGTTTAATAACTGTTTATTTTAAATTCTTAAGTATCAGCTTGTTGTTCTTGGTAAAAATGTTGCCTGTTTTTTGAGACCTTCAACATTCTTTTGTGCCAGAAGCTGGATTGTATACATAGCATTCTGAATAACAGAATGTAACATGTCAGCAGGGATGTTTCTCATAATTCGTGTTAGGTTATCCTTCAAGGCTGAAATTCTGATATTTGAGCTAATATTTTCTATCCACCCAGCTCCCAAATTGACTTCTTAACTCTCTTGTATTTTTTATAATTCATCAAGATCATTAATATTGTAAGTAATTATTCTCAACTAAATATATTTAAGTGTCACCTGATATCAATATCAAATTTTAGTATTTATTCAAATGATAATCATGGATGTACCTGTTAATAATGCTGGATTATACCTGTTAATAAAATATCTTGATGGATAGCAATAAATTTTGATTACTGTCTTAAGTTTGACTGCTGCTCTTCTTATAGTCAAATCATGTCAACTTTTATCCTTCAAGTATTTTTTTTTGGCTATCTATTTTCATCGCAAAGTTATAGACAAACAAAATGCATTGATATCAAAATACCATTGAAGAAGTAAACAAATAATTTTTCTTTACATAAGTGAATACAGTCAAAAGTCGTTAATTCGGACACCCATAATCCGGAATGATCTATAATCTGGACCTCAAAGCTACAAACTTTCTGCGCATGCGTCGTGTTGACGTAAGACCTTTACCGCTATGAATTTGCGTGTGCGCGTGCGCAAAATATGTTTACGAATGCGCGTTTAATGTATAACGGACGGTATAAGCTAAGCTAAAATTATCTAATTCAGTTAATGTTGCAGATTGCGTTGTTCCTTAATCTTTGAATTGGATCCGGCTTATTATTTTTTGCAGATTGTTAGAGCAATTTTATAAAAGTAAGCTTGAACTTTCGATTATGTCAAATAGAATTTCCGATATTTATTTATTAATATGTGAAGGATATACAAAGCGAAAGTATCTTTCGGAGTCCATTAAACAAAAAGTGGAATTGCTGCAAAAAATGGATAAAGGCATATCCTTTGTTTATCTAAACTTTAACGTTTGTTTATCTAAACTTTGTTTATCTTTAACGCCGCGGCGGCGTGCAATGAATTGGAAGTTGATCTGTCAGCACTATCCTTATCTTAAGGGCAGATGTTTTTATTTTATTTGACTTATAATTGCCTACTCAATGTAGTATTTCATCTCGATGTACTCAGTCTTTGATATGATTTAAATCAAATGCCTCGTCATTATAATTCGCTTCCGATAGCGAAGAAAGTGACAGAGGTTATTGAAAAAGAAAAAATTTCGATTGACAAATTAGTCGGTATTCTCGACACAGCAATTATAGGACTTGAACAGCGGAACTTTGTAACTGAACAAGAAATTATGTCTGTTTATAGAATTAAAGAGAATGTATTATCACATAAAAAACGAAGCAACTTAAACGACTTACATTGAAAGAAATGTTTAAAATAAGTAAACAAATAAATATTAAGCTTTTTT